TGAGCTGTGAGCCCTCCGCGGGGTTTTGTATTTTCCCTGTCCTTCACTTCTACGGGTGCAGTTTGTCCTAGAGGTGTCCTGGGGTCTGAGGGTGATGGCAGGAGGGGCTGGGGGCACATCCATCCGTGAGGTGGGGTCTCCTGGTGGGTGAGGGTGCCTTGTCTTGCGCCGTCATGTGCTGGGGGATGCACGCAGAGGAGAGCCATCGTCTGGGGCCAGGGAAGGGGGCCTCATCCTGCCTGGTTAGCCAGGCTGGCAGCTGGGCAGGGCTCTGCTGGTCTCCTATCACCTGTGACAGGTGGCCTCTAGCGCCCCCTGGTGGTCATGAGCAAGGCCAGGTGAGCCGTCCTCCTAGAAACTCGAGCAAACCCAGGGAGGTGAGGGACCTGGGGCGTGGGGTGGAGGCGCCCCAGACTGGGGGCAGTTCTCTGGGCTCTGATCCCAATTCTACCCAAGCAGGATTCTCCCGCCCTCTGGGTCCACGCTCCCTCTCGCTGAGAGGTGGAAGACACCCCTGCCACTTGCCGGGGGCTGATGTCATTTCCCTTTGCTGGTGGAGGAGGGGTCTTGGGAGAGGAGAGGAGATACTGAGGGAGCTATGGATGGGGGGGAGCAGGCAACGCAGTCTCAGCCGGGAGACTGGACATTTCCTGTCATCCCCCACCCCCACCCCGGAGTTAATGATTACCCTTCGGTGCCATTTCTGACATCGGAATCACCAACCACTAGAGTCACCACTGGACTTGACCCTAGTGTCTTCCAAGAACAGCAGCAGGCCTTGCCCCCTCCCCTGGCAAAAGCTGCCTCCAGCCTCCCTGGGACGGAGGAAAGGTTGGGAAGGGAGAGGTGGGCAGAAAGACCTCAGCAACCTCCAGCCAAACTGGACAAGGGCCTGGGTAATCTTAGGACCCAGCAGGGGAGGAAGACATGAATCAGATGGATATGTGCGAACCCAGGAGGTCTCCCTGGAGGAGGGAGTACTTGAGTGAAAATGTGTAGGATGAGTTCACGGAACTCTGGGTCACTCAGGGCATGAAGGGTGTCCCAGCCCCAGGTTGGTATGCCTGGCTTGCAGTCACAGGGACTCCTGGGACCTCCCCGGGTGCTGTGGGCAGCCACGAGGCGGGAGCAGGCAGGTGGCAGGGCAGGGCTCTCCCTGCAAGCTCGTCCTTGCAGGTCATGGTGGCTTGGGGGTGTGCCCCAGTCTGTCCTCAGGCTGCCATGTCTGCTGCCCACAGGTGCCCATCATCCCCGTGGTGTTCTCCAGTTTCTCCTCCTTCTACAACACTAAGACGAAGCTCTTCACCGCAGGTAATGCCCCCACTGCCTGAGCACACACACGGGCCGTCTGTTCTCAGTTGCTGAGACACCCGGGCCCCTAAGAGAATAGTTCCCGCTTCTGGGTGGTGTCTGTAGACCCCTGCCACTCCACGACCATCTCAGGAAGGAAGTCGGGGGGAAGAGCTAGGGTCCCAGCAACAGGCCGTGAGGACACTGAGGCTCCCACAGGTGGACTGGGTGCCCTGGCTCACACACTCAGCCCAGGCCGTGCACACCACTCAGCAGACTTGAGGTCTTTCTGAGCCAGCGCATCTGGGCCTGACTCTCAGGGGCAGCAGACTCCCAGGTGCCCCCACACCCACCGGCCACAGAGCTCAGGACCTCCCTCGCCTTCCCTCCAGACTCCACGAAAGGGCACCTGGTGCCCAGGTGGGAAGTGGGGGTCCGGGGTGGAAGCTGCCTGCCCCCGCGCCTGAGCCCTCAAGGCTGTCTAACCTCACTGTGGAGGGTGGGAGTGGAAGGGAGAGCGGGGGCTGCCTGGGAGCAGGCAACAGGGTCCCTTCTCGGGGAGGAAATGTCCTGTACCCTGGGGGCACACACTGGCCCAGACCACTGAGTACGTGCTGGAGGGGCCGGTGTGTGATTGTCAGGCATTTTCAACTGAAAGCCAGCCCCCTGGGACCAGGGTGTCCAGGGAAGAGCCCAGCCCTGCCCAGGCCCTCGGGAGGCTCCGCAGGGAAGGCGGGTGGGCGGCAGAGGAGGAAAAGCTCCCCAGGAGAGCCCCTAGGCTGCTGACACCCCCTGTCCCCCAACAGGGACCATCAAGGTAGAGGTGCTGGACGCCATTCCCACCAGCGGCCTCACTGTCGACGATGTCCCCAAGCTGATGGACACCTGCCACCAGGCCATGAGGGCCTGCTTCTTCCACATATCCAAGACAGCCCAGGAGAACGGGGCCCCTGCAGGGCCTGATGTCCGGCCAGCCCAGTAGCCAGGGCCTGGGACAGGGCAGGACCTGTCCGGAGAATGGACAGAGGGACCCTGCCCACTGAAAAGCACCGTGTCCCCTCCCTCGGCTCCCCCGCTTCCACTCAGGCCCTGGAAGCAGGGGGCCCCTTCCTGTCACTGGCCTCAGATCCAGGCCCCAGATGTCCCTGTAAAGGAGTCAGCCAGAACCTCCCGCGGCTCTGAGGACAGGGCCTTGCCCACCCTTGTGCCCCCAGGGTCCGCGTAGGAGCAGGTCTGGGCCCCGGGGGGTGCGGAGGGATGCTCCGGGGTCCCAGCCGCGGCCTGCATCAGGCTCTCAGGGAGAGACAGGGGCTGAGGAGAGAGCAGGACACCTGGGCTCCTGCCACCTGGGCCTCAGGGAGCCTGAAAGCAGGGTCTGCGGCTCCCACCGTCCCTGGGGAGCAAGTCTGCTGAATCTGGACCGCGCTCCATCGTTGTTTTTTATAAACACACTCTTGGAAGTGTTTGGTGAGTTGTGGTCCCTTTGAGGGCAGTCAGGGCTTCTGTCTGGAGACGCAAGGCACAGCCTGGGCAGCGCGTGGGAGTCTGCAAGCTGCCCTGCCTTCCCCTCCCCAGGGCACAGTGTGGGAGCCCCGGATCTGCCCCCCTTGGCGGGCTTCCCTTCCAGGGGCTGCGCCCACGGTCACCCTGTGATACTTTCTTCCATGGGAGTCACAAGCATGCCCGGCGGGCTGGGAGACACTCGGATAGGAGGCTGGAGATTTGCTTTGTGGCTACTGGCTTGGGGTGGCGGTAGGCAGCACTGGAAGGAAGGTGTCTCTGTGGCCAGTGTCACGGTCACTGAAACCACCTGCTTTAGCCCCTTTTGGAGAGAGAGCACCAAGACCCTACCTAAGAGGGCCCAGGGGACTGGAGGCCTCCTCCCTGCCCCGAGGCCACCCTCCTCTCTTCTACCAGGTGGTGGTGGGCCTAGGGGAGGCCCGTCAGCCTCAGAAGGCCCCCACAATCCATGGACACAGCAGCTCAAGTCTCATTTTATTCTGACAAAGATCAGGGCTGCCCAGTGAGCAGCACTGGGCCCGAGGCTCTGGGCAGGGAGCCCTCGTACCTCCTCTCAGCCAGGGGCCCACCAGGCCCCAAGAGCCAGCCAGGGCTGCAGGGGTCTGGCTGGGCTGTGCTCTCAAGGCTGGAGGGCTGTCTGGGCTGGGGCTGGATTCACGCAGGAAGACCCCTCACTCCACCCTGCCCCACGTGGGAGCCGCGGGGTCTCCTCAGCAAGAAGAGGTGAGGGGTAGGGGACAGGGCCTAGGGCAGGGCAGGGCCAGGACAAAGCCCGGGGCTCTTGGTGGCCAGAGCTGGCGGCCTGGGCCAGGCCAGTCATAGCTCCTTCTTGCAGGAACCTAAGGGTGCATGGGGAGCGTGAGGTCAGAGGTCACTGCTCCCACCACTTTCCAGCCCAGCCAGATTTCCCCGCTCCCACCCTACCCTACCCTCTGGCCTCTCTGGGCAGGGACCCACTCCAGCCTCGGGGGTCCTAGGCAACCGGGGAACTCCGAGGATGGGGAGGCGATGGGGACCACGGCACTCACAGGAACCCAGCTGCTCCTCCAGGAAGGAGATCTGCTCACTTAGAGAGTCGATGCGGTCCAGCTGCTGGAGGGAGTGGGCCAGGAGGCTGCCGGGGTCGGGGAGCCCATGCTCCAGGGCCCGAGAGGCCAGGCTGTGTAGTGGGGCCAGCACAAGCTGCAGCTTCTGTGGGTCAGGCAGAGGGCTCGGCTGGGGAAGGGCCTGTGTGACCCTGGGCCAGCCTCTCGCCCTCTCTGTTCCACAAGGATTTAAGGAAAACTGCTGTGGCCAGCAAGGGCTCAGCCAACCCCCAACCCAGTTCTAGCTGCTTGGCCCTGGAAGTCCACTAGAGGGAGCTTCTGCACCAGGAGAGCCCGGAGGTGGGTGGGCACAGATGAACATCGCACAGGCCAGCCAGGCCAGTGGTCCCTGAGGCCTGGGATCCCGGTCAGAGGAGCTAACAGAGGCGAGGGAGCTTCTGAGGGGTCTCAGGCCAAAGGCCCTATGGAAAGGCCACAGGGTCACTCTGCCCCTACAGGGACAGAGTGGGCTGGGCCTAGGTTCAGGCTCCCTGTGTGGCCTGGGGGTGGGGCCGTGCTTGGCCGCTCCTGTTCTGGGGGTCCCAGTCATCATCCGCTGCCCCTCCCTGGCAAAGGGTATCCTGGGCTGTCAGTATCCAGGAAGCCTCCCCACAGGGCACCAGCACCCCTGCTGAACCCCACCATCACCCCGAGGGTTGGATTCACATCGCAAGGCAAAACAGGAGGTTCCCAGCTGAGGTTCCCCTGGGTACCCAGCCCAGGCCTCACCTGCTCTAGCACGTCCACCCTTGACCGGAGCCTCTGCACTTCCTCCTTCACCTCACTGTCCACTCCTGCGGAGATCCAGGAGTGAGTCAAGGAGGCCTGGCTCCCCACCCTGCACCCCACCGCAGGCTGGCCTCGTGTCCCAGTGGGGGGCCTCCCGTCCTCTGCTCCAGGTGTGGGGCACAGCCCTGGAGATGGATTCCAGCCCCGCTGTCGTGGGAGCCCCTCCCCCCATTCCGGGCCCAGGTGGCCCCTTCAGGGCACCCTGGGATGACGTAGCCCCACCCTGCCCGCCGCTCAGTGCCGGGGTCCCCGCCGAGCTGAAGGTGGTCCGAGCTGAGGCCTGCGCCGCGCTCTTGGTGCTGGGCTGCCGACGGCGCATTATTACTCACGGTACGAGTTTGAAGTGTCACAGCGCGTACCAAAAGTAATAATGTCCCGTCACCAGCAGAGGTGCTGTCTCTCCAGGCTGCCCGGGCCACTGCCTGGTAGGGACCTTCTTCCAGTCTTGGCTGAGTTGAGGCCCTCCCCACTGTGCCCATGAGAACCCACCAGCCATCCTTCCTCTGGGGAGGAGCCCAGGGTAGGGGCTGGCCCACGGCCCAGGGCCGGTCGCCCTCCGATGCCCCCGCCACACCCAGCAGCCCCCGGCCCTCCCTGCCCACCCCTTGGGTGCAGCAGCAAGTGGGGTGGGGGAAGTGGGGAGTTTACCTGTCGCGGGGTTTGGGGCCGCCCTAGGCGTCCCTCTGTCCGGCAGGCAGAGTGCCCCGTCCATAGAAGGGCTGTGCCCCTCCCGACACTGGCACCAGTAACTGCCTGCGGTGTTGACACAGTGCTGGGGACAGCCACCCCCTCCGGTGCTGCATTCATCCACGTCTGCGGGAAAGGGATGTCAAGCAGGGGTGGCGCCCAGCTGTTAGTGGGCTACCAGGACACACAGGGAGTCGCCCCAAGGACCCTCCCCCTTGGGGGATGCGGGACCCAGCCTCACCTGTCTGGCAGGTGTCTCCCTGCCAACCTGAAGGGCAGTGGCAGCGGCCAGGCTGGATACAGCGCCCTCCGTTCTGGCATGGCGGCTGGCATATTGCTGTGGGTGGGGGAAACCCGGCAAGAACTCAGAAGGGTCCGCAGGGCCCCGCAGGGGTGGCAGCCCAGGGAGCGGTGTTGTGCAGGAGATGCTCCCCTCAGGTTTTGAGAGAAAAGCAGCAAGCGTTTTGCCCAGGGTCCGGTGGGTGGGACAGACTGCTGCCTAGCTGGGCTCTATTTTAACTAACGCTCGGTGCTCCGGGGCCCTCACCTGCGCCACAGGGTCCAGGCAGTCCGCTGGCCCTCTTCCAGCCGGGGCAGCAGGCATAGCGAGGCCGGGCGGGGGCCGGCCCGGGGCTGCGGCGGTAGGCGGTCCTGTAGACTGTCCTGTGGGATGGGGGGCAGCTCAGAGGGGCCCGATCCTCGTGGGGTGGGCTCTGTGGGTGCCACCAGGTCTCCTGGGCCCAGGCCAGGGTTTCCCCAAACATGCTGAGTGAGGTACCCCCTGCCCTCCCTGTCCGCCGGCCTTCCCAGCTGGCTCGGTCCCCGAACCCTCCAGAAGCCACATGAACCACTTCCCTCAGCAGGGACAAGGTCACTCAGATGTGCCCCCAGAAGTCCTCTCCCTCATGGGTGGCACCTCAGGGTCACTGCACAAGCCATCTTCCTGTCCCACGCTGCGGTGTTGACAGGGACCCAAGGCTTGGCAGGAGGCCCAGCTGTGCCCAGCATGGAGCAGAGGTGGCATCTCGAGGACAGCTTCCAATTCTAGGGGCGGGGACCTAGACCCCAAGAGGAAGAAGCTGGCCACACTGTCTCCCCCGCCACCTCCCACCAGGGAGGTCTGTAAGAACCTTACAGAAAATAAAAGCTTCTTAAGACACACAGAGCGGAGCAGAGACACACGCCCCTCACACTGGCGCAGACTGGGATGTCCTGGGTTTTGGAGGGGGTGGGATCTCCATCTGCCACTGTCAGGGGCTATCCTGGGCAGAGGGGGGCCAATGGAGCCCCGGGGGCAGGGCCAGGGCGAGGCAGGTTTCAGGGAACCAAGTGGGTGAGATCCGGTAGCCAGCAACGCTGCGGGTCGGGGGTGAGCGCCTGGACAGCGGAGGGGAGCAGACAGGGTGGCTGGCCCCTCTAACATGAGGGTGGGGGAGCAGACGCGCTGGGCGCCCTCGGAGTAGCAGAAAGAGGGGTGCTGTCTGAGGCTACGGCGGCAGCACCCCAAGTCCAGCACTGCCCGGGTAAACCCCCGTCAGTCTCTGCCATCCCCTCGCAGTGGCCTTGGCAAGTCCTTTCACCGCTCTGGGCACCCTTTCCCTTCGGGGTGCACCGCCCTCCCAGGGCTCATGTGTGGCCGCAGACAGGGCCCCGCGGCGGCGGGCGGCACTCACCGGTAGGTGCTGCAAGCTCGGTACCCGTCGCAGGTGGTGAGGAAGGGCTGGTACATGCGTTGCACAAAGGACTCGGACACGGGGCCCCTGGGAACCCCGACAACACACACCCTGCGGCTACGGGGGTGACAGGGGCCAGAAAGTCAGTGGGGGGTCCCAGGACTGGGACCCTCCCAGTCCCAGAACCCAAGGGAGCCAGGAATGTGGGGAAGGGGTTTCCTGATGTCACCCTGGGAAGGACTCTCAGCAGGAGCCACAAGGAAGAACCATGGCTCCCCGCTCCAAACACTAGGGGCTGCCCTGGGCAGGGGCTGAGGGCTCCTGGCTGGGCACCCCCCGCCCCCACCCTGGCACTCAGAGGCCCGAGCCCAGGCTCACCCAGGCCGGTAGAGGTGCTCGGTGCCACCAGCTGCCAGCACCAGGAACCACAGCAGAAGCAGCTCCCGGGAGCCCCACATGGCCTATGTTTCTGTGTTTCTGGCTGCTCCTCAGGGTGGCCTGGAGCACAAAGCACGACCTTGTCATCCCTCTGCAGGCCGCCCTCCAGACCATGTCCCCGCTGCAGGCTGTCCCCTTGGCTCCATGACACCTGCCCAGCTCAGCTGCTTTGCTGGGACCTCCCATTGCAGCGGGAGAGTCTGCAGGGGTGGAGGCCAGCTCGTCCCACCCCCAGTCCATCTGGACAAGCAAGGACAGCCCCTCGCCAGCCACATATAGCCTGCCCAGCGACCACAGAAGGGCCACAGCATCTGGCACCCTTGCTGGGGGAGAGAGGCACTTGGACCCTGTTGGGATGGGCGGATGCCAACCTAGAAGGCATCAGAAACTCAGGAAAGTTCACTCAGGAAGGTGGGGGCCCAGGGGGAGCATCTGGACCAGTTCTCCCTCCCCAACTCAGTTTAGTGCCCTCCGTTTCACAGGAGGGCAGGGCTTTTCCCAATCTCAGCCTGCAAGTGGGTGTTAGTGGCAGAGCTGGAACCATCCCAGCTGGCTTGGCCCTCATGGCCTTCAGTGACCTCATCTGCCAGGCGGGTAGCCAGCTGCGGTGCCATGAGAGCCCATCGGGGGTGCAGGCGCTGGGGGTGCGGACTCCATTATGGTCCTCCTCAGAGTGGGGCAGGCGCCTGCACTCAGGAGGGGGTTCCTCCTATGCTGCAGACTGAAGCTGTAGTGCAGACCACCTCCAGGGCTCCCAAGACAGCGGCCCCCACAGCTTCCCGTCTGGTGGACAGACTGGAGCAGCGCCCCCACAGGCCAGTGGAGCTGACTGCTATCCACATCCTGGCTGTGGATGGGAGCCAGGGAGGCTGAGAGAGGGATTCCTGGGAATGTGAGAAACCCCAGCCTGGAGTTAATGGTCTGCAATGAGCCAAGGGGACCGGAGCAGGGCGGCAAGGCCTCTATCCCCATAGGCCGCCAAGGGTCTGGGGCGCTGGTGACCCTATGCTCTGGGTGCCCCACCCAAGGTCTCCAAGGGGCCAGGTTCGACCCACATGGGCACCCAGCAGGAAAGGGCACAGGAAGGAGGTGAACTGTGTGTGTGCTGTGGGCAGGCGCAGAAGAGTCAGGGTATGGTCCGCCCAGTCCACTCGGGGATTCAGCGGGGAGTTCCGTCCATGCCCTTGACCACTGCATCCCATAGCCCTGGGCGGGGCAGGGCGGGAAGGCAGGGGTACAAGGGTCCTTCCTGCATCCCGAGGTGGGAGGGGCTGGGTGGCCCAGCAGGCAGAGGCTGCAGTGGGCAGCTGAGGTGTGGGGCTTGGTTTGAGAGCAGCAGGGGTGCTTCTCAGCGGGGCAGGGGACTGACCTTCCAGTCTGAGCCAGCTGGCTTGGAAGGTGAAGTCTGTGGGGAGCACACTGTTAGGCGGTCCAGGCAAGAACTGAAATGGTGGAGACAGGTGGCCGGAGAGTGGGCCCTGGGACGGCAGAGGTCGGCTGGCGGGCTTGCAGGGCGGGGCGGGGACCCCTAGGGTTCCACAGACCCTGTGCTCACCCACACTGGGCACCTTGGGGGAGGCTCGTGTGAATGTACTGGCCCCCCACAAATATCCACCCCAGCACCTCCCCTACTTACTGAAAGCTGTTTAGAAAGGGAGTCGTGCTTTTAAAAAGGAGAGGATTTTTGAAAGTCATGCTTTTCCCCTAGGCCAGAGGAAGCTGATGGCGCTGCCCAGCCTGTGCTGGGCTGGCATAATCTCATTTCCTTCTGGTGCTACAGCCCTGCTGGGGCTGTTGGCCAAGGTGCCTCCGTAGTGATCAGCAATAATGTCCTGACCCTTCTGAATGTCTGCACGAGCCCTGCCCACCACTTTCCCTCCCACCTGGCCTGGGCTGCATCCTTGCATCCCTGCCTGGGGAGACTGAGTCCGCAGAGGGAGAGGCCTGACTCCACCGCAGGCGACAGCCCTAGGTTCCCCTCTTCCGCCAGGAGAGGTGCTCTGGACGTCAGGACCCATGGGCCGGGGGTGGGGGTGGGGGGCGAGGGCAGAGACGCAGGGTGAGACTACAGGACTGACTCCCTGGGGATGAGCCCTCTCCACCGCCCGCCCCACGCCTGCCCTTCCCTCTGCACGGCTGGCTCCGTGGGGAGTGGGAGTGAGGGTGAAGTGACACCTCCCTCAGCCACCGCAGGGCATGGCTGGCCTGGGCTGCGAGATCTAGGGCCCGTGAGGCTCTGAGTCTGGCTCTGGGGGAGCCGCGCGGCCCAGATAGAGGGATGAGGGACTGCAGCGCCCCCCGCCCACACCCCCACGCGACCCAGCCCGGGTCACCCGTCACCAGCAGGGGGCGCCCTTCTCCAAGGCCGCCGGGC